CCTTCCTGCAGGCGCTGGGTGCAGAGGAGAGCGACGACGGGGTAGGTGGGAAGGATGCCCTGCGCACACGAGGGGCTGACCGCCATGGGGTGAGGATGCATCCGGGGTGGTACTGCAGAGCTATGGAGGGCTCCCAGCATCTCTGAGGCAAAAACGTGTCTCCTGAATCAACACTGCGGTGGTGCGTCTCCCCTTGTCGCGGCATAAACCAAAAATAGTTCTTTTCAACATGATAAACCCAGGTCGGCAGAGCCCTGCCACAGTCAGAGCTGTGCTGACCCTTAGGGAGCACGGCTGGGGTTACAGCCGGAGGCAGGATGATGCCCAGCCCCGGGGGTCCTGCCCCGCTGCCCCTCTTTGCTTCTTTCACAGTTTGTTGTCAGCTGCAGCAGCGTCCCGAGCATGCCCACCCTCTACTTTGCCATCGGCGGAGCCCAGTTGCCGCTGCCTCCCTCTGTCTATGTCTTAAACGTAGGTGTGATTTGACCATCCCCAACACGTTTCCCATCGCGGGGCGGTTTTGCCCAGGAGAAAGTCAGCTTTTTTTGCAAACGCAGATGTTTCCAGCAGCCAGAGTGCCCTATTTCCCAGCACCTGAGCTCACGGTGCTGCTGCATGTCTGTTTGTGACTGCAAGGAGGATCTAATCCTGCTCCCAGTCAAAGCAGCCGTGGAGGCATGGGCAGCACAGATCCCCCACGCTCCTCGCTGGCCCTGAAATTTGCTCTTTTCCCCCCAGCAGAACAACGGCGTCTGCAGCATTGGGGTCGAGAGCACCTATGTACCCTCTGCCAGCGGCCAGCCGCTCTGGATCCTCGGCAACCTCTTCCTCCGGCAGTATTACTCCATCTTCGACATGGCCAACAACAGAGTTGGCTTTGCCCCGTCGGCCTAGGGATGCTGAGTATCCCCAGTGGGATAATTCGTCCCTGCGATGCTTCATCCTCCCTTGGACCTGTGTGTGGCGGTGAGGAGTCTCCAAACCTCCTCCGGTGCATAAAGGGCTGCAAATGGAACTGCCTCGTGTCTCATCTTCATAAACCAACGACGCTCAGGGATTCCAGGCACTGCCAGGAATTTCAAGTGTGCACGGAGCCTTTGCATTTGCAACAACGACAACTTTGGGGTCGCTTTTTTTGACTGGGATACGGATCCCTGTTGGGGATGGCTGGGAAACCGGGATGACCGGGAGAAATTCAGGCTGCGCCATGTGCTCAGCCGCAGCTCGGGGACCCCAGGGCTGAGCTGGTGTGGTCGCTGGAGGCTTCAGAAACCAGTTCGGAGCAGGATATGCAGAGACAAGGAGCCGCGTGTGAACAGCTCTCTGTGCGTTAGGTTTGGGGGAATTGCCCACACGTATTTGCAAATAAATTAGGGTTTAAAAAGTGTCATGCAAGGACACTCAGGCTGAGGAAAACGCCCTGGTTTTGTTCTCGAGGGGTAAATCTCTTTATTGATGCAGCCCCCAAGGATGGGTGATGAGAAGAAAGGGGGTGGTGTGCCTGGGACGCGGATGTGACCAGATCTTGGGGTGTCTGTATTCCCCCCGAAGAGGAGCTGCGGGATGCAGTGTCAGGACGGGCCAGCACCGGGTGCCCAGGCCAGACCCAAGAGGCTGGTGGCCCAAGCGGCTGGTCCTCGAGGCCCCGCACGGGGCGATGCACGGGAGACGCAGCGCTGAAGGGCCCATCACCCGTCGTCTGACACCCATCTCCCGGTCAGATGACAGTCACCCCACTGGGGCATGTGACCACCCGTTAAATCTGCTGTTTCCAGCCAAATCTGCCGCGGTGGGTCCTGCCGAGCGGCAGCTCCC